GCGCTGATGATCGAATCAGCGCGCGTTGTCACGTTTGGTGCACCAACATCATATTTGGTTGCCACTCCTCCATTTTTCTTAATTAATTTTTTTTTTCTTTTCTTTTTCATTCCTCTTCCCTGTGGCCTTACCCTCTTTTTTTTTTTTTCTTCTTATTCTTCTTCTCTCCCTTTTTTTTCATTTCTTCTTTTTCTTTCTTTTCCTTCCTTTTTCTGCTTTTTCTCTTTCTCCCTCTTTACCCGACATGATTATTCTCTCTCTTCTTCTCCTTCTTTTTTTTTTGCCTTTTTTATTTTCTTTCTTCTTTTTCCCTGCGACTGCTTCCTCTCTCCACTGCCGCATGCGCCATGGACGTCGTGCCTCATTTCTTTTCAGTCGCGCAATGCGGCGAGACTCTTCTCTCTCAGTCGTCGATGCTGCTCGACCCTCTCTCAGTCGCATCTCTCCCTTCTCGATCTCTCATCTATTTCTTTCTTTTTTTGTTATTTAATTATATATATATTTACCACTTGGATATTACATATATATATTTGTCACCGCTTGGATGTTACAGAGATATAATATTATGCTTATAAATTATATCATCCGAATCTCTCAATGAATGAAATTAATTTCTTGAAAACTCTTTTTTGGCTTAGAATTTTAGGGTTGCCTTTGGGTCTCTTTAGCAAATTCAATGTTCTGGTCGTAGCTAGCAAAATAGGAAAGATCTTTGATATTGAATTTGCCGGCAATGGACACACCTGGGTTGACTATTTACAGGTTAAAATCTCAATTAGGATCGATGAACATGGTCTCTTTCTGGCAAAGCCCTCAAACTCTCAGAACTTGGTCTTTTTCTGGCTAAGATTAGATCATGAGATGAAATGTTGTAACCGGGGCTGAATTATTAAGCCTCCCTTAGGATTGCGACTTAAACCTTATGGTGTATAACTCAAAATAGATGTAAACTACTCTTTGAAAGATCCATAGAAAGGTGATCACACATCAAATATTGAAAAGTTAATTCATTTATTAAAGGTACCACTGGTACACTATCAAGGATTTCTTGTTTATGATCATCATGATCATACCTTGGGATTAGACGAAGGTAGTACTGAAGGCAAGGAGTCAAGGTCTATTAAAGTGGCAGGAGAGACTTAAGAGCAAGACAGGCACGATTGAACCCAATACTACAAAAACCAAAACACATTCCACTAACTCAGCCGATAAGACAA